TTAGATAATGGGGCCTCAGTTGTCTCAAGGCCCTCATTGGAGAGGATAGAGTTTCCTTTTGTTGTCAAGATTTGCAGGGTGGGCCCTGCTAAATGGCTCTTTGAAATGGATCTTCGTTGGAGTGAGAACACTGGCCATTCTTCCTTTCCTTTCCTAGACTCTGAGGTGCTCTCCGGCAGGAGCTGGTGCTTTCCTAAAGCCCAGAACAGAAAGAGAGAATTCCTTCACTTAATGGAATGTGGTGCTTTGGGTGTTGTTTTTTTTTTTTTTTCCCTAAATGCCCTGGAATTCCAACATGATTTTATTTGCAGATACCAGTTAAATGGAAGGGCCTTCCTGGCTCCCCGGGCTGTCCTGGTGGGCTCTTTCACCCAGCTGGAGGAGCAGAGTAGCTCTCAGCTGTTGGCTGCCATGGCCCTCACTTTATAACAGCTTGGCGTGTATGTGAAATTGTTGTGCCTTTCTTTCATTTGCATCTTCCCTGGCCCTTGTTTTCCTAAATGCTTGCCCTTCAGGCCTGACTTTTCTAATTCCTGTTACCATCTTAGAATAGCTTAAGCAGAATAGGGGCAAGTGGAGGATGGGGTGCTTCGCCTCCCACCTCCGCCATTACAGAGGTGGAGCTGGACCTACTAGTCAGACTCTTCTGTTTTGAGCTTGATCTCTTTGCTGTCCCATGGGTCTTCTGAGCCCCAATGCGGGCATTTGGCAACACTCTGACGTTAGTAGGTAAACCAGATCTTTAAAGGCCAGGAAATCATTTCCTCCATCATCTGATGCTGAGCATCCTCCCACCGTGACCCTCATGTCACACTTCGCTCTTCCTCATCTCTGCATCAAATACTCCTGGGTTAGTGGCACATTCGCTGTCTGTTTCTTCCTAATGAGCCTTTATTTGGCAGAGAGGGGGAGTTGGCAAGTGGGGACAGAGGGGGCAGGGAGAAGAGGAGGAATAAGAGAGTGAGCAGAAGGTACGGGCCAATTCCGAGTGAGCCCAGGCAGGGTGTTAATCATCCCTGGTAGCAAAGTGATTCTTTGATATCTGCACAGTAAAAGGAGCAGGGTTTATCTGGCGAGCTTTTATTCTTGCCGTCTGAACCCTGTGCGAGAGTCTCGCTATGAAGTACTGAACTGGAACAATGTTGGCCCAGCTAGAACTCTCCTTAGCAACCTTCAAAATAAAACAGATGTTGTCAGCACCGAAAGAAGACTTTTCATCTCTGGGGCTGAATTTGTCTCACGGCTCTGATGCTCGGTGCATTGTGTGGTGCCGTCAAATCCCAGCGCCGACTCCCAGTACCCCCTTCCCTCCCCCTGCCAATTTAGAATCAGAGCTCTGGTGGATTTTTTCTTTTTTTTTTTTTAGAAAGCGCTGCCTGCACTCCAGTGTGAGGGCCTCTTTGAAGTGCTGGTGCACTGATCCTGGCATCGCCCGGGGAGACGCAGGGACTGTCAGAAAGCAGGAGGGTTGCTCCGGGAGGGAATGGGGCTCTTTTCACCAGAAGGGATTTGTTGGTGGCTCCGTTCTCCAGAGAATGAGAAGACATAAAGAGACTAAATTGTGGGGAAAGGCTCCATTAGGATCCCAAGGATCCAGTTGTTTGTTTTCCTACAGAGTGTCAGCACTCCGTCAATGAAAGTCAGCAGTGTGCTTTACCTTGACCGACGGAAGGGACGCAGAACCTGCACCTTGTGCGGCGTTTTGCACGTGATGGGCACTTGGTAAACATTGGCTGAATGGGTAGATAAACCTGGATGGTGTGCAGGCGCGTGCACAGGAAAACAAGAATTGCAAAGAAAGCAGTAACGTTCAACTTACAGAATATGCAGAGATATTTGCACATGGGTTAACCTTCTGGGCGTGTAAGTGGTAGAAAAACCGCTTGTGTTCTTCTTTCTTCCTCCTGTATCTCCTCCTCCTTCCCTGTGCCTCACACTGTTACAGCTGCTTGGACACTTGTTCAGGAGGTGAGTCAGGCATGAGTACAGCAGCTGACCTTTCTCCAGGACCTCCAATCTGGATTCTGCCCAGGATTGGATGGGCCTGACCTGATGCTTAACAGTTGTCTCTAGATACACAACATGTATGTGGATACCTTACCGCATGCACCGTGGGGCCTGTTGGAGATGACTGAGAAGTGTCCAGAAGAGACAGGAAGACAGGTGACCTGCCAAGGACGCTGTTTATGGAGATCGTCTTACGTTATGTGATTATGGGATGTTGGCACAAAAGAGTTGTTGAGAAAGTTGGTTTCCTGTGCAGGTGTTACCCAGAACTTTTAGTTTTGCTGCTTGATAGATTGAAAATAATAATTACTGTTTATCAAACACTTACTGTACACTGGGCTGAGGACTTTGCATGTGTTAAATATCTGACCCCCACAATACCCTTGTGATTGAAGGACTCCCCCTCTTTCCCATCTGAAAACCACTGTGATTTTTATTTTGCTTATGATTTTGACGGTCAGGATTTAGGGAAGGACTCAACAGGGTTCATCTCTCATGTACACAGGGACAGCTGGGACGAGTAGGGCTGGGGACCCCCTTCCGGATGGCTTTCTCATGTGCATGACGCTGTGTCCCCGGCCCTCTCCCTCTCCACGTGGCGTCTCATCCAGGCCCTTTCCACATGGCTTTGGCTTCTTACCAAATGCTTTGCTTGGGGCGGTCACACTTCTTAGGTGGTGACTGCCTTCCAAGAGGCAGGAAGTGGAAGTGCCCAGCCTTCCACAGTGGAAAGCTGTCCCAGGGCTTGAATCTTTGGCCTTTTTTTTTTTTTAAGATTTTATTTATTTATTTGACAGATAGAGCAGGAACACAGGCAGGGGGAGTGGGAGAGGGAGAAGCAGGCTTCCCACCAAGCAGGGAGCCCGATGTGGGGCTCGATCCCAGGACCCCGCAGTCATGACCTGAGCTGAAGGTAGACGCTTAACTGACTGAGCCACCCAGGTGCCCCTCCTTTAGCTGTTTTCTATGGGTCAGAGCCATTACAGTGTCTGCCCAAGTTCGAGGGGGGGCAGAGAAAGAGACCCCATCTCTTAATGAGAGAGTAGCAAGGTCACATGGCAAAAGGGCGTGGGGGATGGGAAACATTACTGCAGACATCTTTGGAAAATAGAATCTACCAATTGGTGTGAATGCTTGTTTCTTTTATTTCAAAAGAAATGTTTAAAATGACTTAGAAAATTATGTCTCAAAGTCAAGTCTGCCCCAAGTATTGCCATCTTACGTAAAAACATTTTGGCTTTGGGAATCGGCTTTATTCCTGAAACGCTAGAGCCTAGAGTCCTCAAAGCTGGGCCATTCTTGTCCTTATTTGCTTGGGGTTGGTACACAGAGCAGATGAGGGAGTTGAAGCTAATTGGGGTCTTCTCATATGTTCCATCACGTTAACTAGACAGAGATCAGGGCAGTGATGTGCATGGGTCCAGCTAGCCCAAGAGCACTTGCAGCAGCTGGGAGGACTGTGATGATTTTGTAGAGGGTAAGAAAAAGCCTCTTTTACTAGGATTTATGTCCTACTTTTGAAGGAGGGGAAAAAAAAAAGATTTCAGTTGGCTTGCAAAATGAAGCCCAATTTAAAGTAAGAGACATAAAAATAAAATCAAGATCAAAAGGGGTAAAAACAAATCAAAGAATAGATATCGCAAGGTGGTTGGGATGCATTAGTTAGCTGCACTTGAGCGCTGAATTTGCCTCTGAAGTTTTGAAGAGTTGGGGCAAAGAGAAATGTGATTGCACAGTTCACCTCTGATGAAGGAAGCCCGGGAGAGCCAAACTTTTTGTTGGCACTGAATTCATCATGCGCTTTTTTTATGTAAGGGCATTGGAGAACATAATGGACAGTGCTTTCAACTGTTCTTTTATGAAAGGCTCTGAGTGATTGTTAAAATGGATGTTTCTCATATCCACTCTCTATAAAAGCTGAGGGTGTAAATCTTAAGTGTGTGAAGGAGTTTCTGTAAGAAGCTGAGTGACTGTGGAGGACAAACGTTGCTTTGTGTGGATCCAATTTAGTCTACGGCTAAAACTAGAGAATCTAAGGGGGCGTGGCTAGCTAGTCTGCATAGTAGGCCATCTCTCTCTGCGATCAGATGTCTCAAATGAGTCTTTGGCACGAGTTGGATACTAATCAGTTTATGGTTGGGCTCTGTGCCCAAAGTACCAGGCTTCTGTGGTGTTAACTGGGGGGCGTTCCACGGGTTTCAGCTATAAGAGTAGAAGGCAGAGCTGAGTTGGGCGTTTTAGTCTTAAGAACCTGATTGGCACTCTTCCCCACTAGAGGACTGTCCCCTCTTCCAGCAGTGTGCCAGCAAGGGAGGCAATTATTTTTCTTTAGAAGGAGCTGCTAATCTGCCCAGTATTTGTAGAGACTTCAGAGTCCTGTGCCATCCACAGGAGATCAGATTCAGGTCTGCAGCTATTATCAGCTCTCTGCCCACGGCTATCTCCGAAGGCAAGGTAGCACTGGGCAAGTGCTGGGGTCCTGCTCCACCATGTTCTAGGCATGTTATCTTGGGTGTGTTGCTTTGGTTTCCTTGGTTTCATGGGAGAATGCATATGAAGTGCTTAGCACAGTGCCTGGCACTCAAGGTCTCTATTCATTCTCAGGGTGGTGATAATGATACTGGTGTTTGGGGAAGGCAGGTCAGTATGTAACATACTCTTCCGCACCAAATGCTTATCTAACTAAGACATACAGGTCTGTCTCAGGGCATGG